ATTCCCCAGCCAGCGAATGCTGGCTGGGGAATTCTGGGAGTTGAAGTCCGGACATCTTCAAGTTGCCAAGGTTGAGAAACACTGCTCTAAGCAGTTTTACAAAGTCAGCATATTGCCCCCAGCAATCTAATATAAACGACAAATATTTTGTAATGTCTTTTTATTGACATGATTTATCAAAACATTTATGAACTTGATTTATAATGTTGCAATAAAATAATTATTTTTTTGCAGGCTTTAAAAGAATGAGTAAGAATATTAATGAGCTAAGGTAGTACCTGCTTTTATACTATTACCGACATTTAAAATTGGGATACTATCATAATAAAATATTTTCTCTAAGTAAGTGTTGTTAGCATTTCTCTGAACAATACAAAACCTCTGAACATGTTTTAAGTGCAAAAGGCATTGATGCTTTTCATGTTCACTTTACATTTAGGAAATGTGTTAACTACATTATATAGAAGGGCTGTGCCCATTTTGGAAATTGTTCCGAAGGATTCATGCAGAATTGGAATGTGCATGAACATAGCACCTCTTGCAGTGGTTCAGTGGCTAAGACACTGAGCCTGTCGATCAGAAAGGTCAGCAGTTCGGCGGTTTGAATCCCTAGTGCTGCGTAACAGAGTGAGCTCCCGCTACTTGTCCCAGCTTCTTCCAACCTAGCAGTTCGAAAGCACGTAAAAATGCAAGTAGAAAAATAGGAAACATCTTTGGTGGGAAGGTAACAGCGTTCCGTGCGCCTTTGGCATTTAGTCATGCCGGCCACATGACCACGGAGAACGTCTTCGGACAGCGCTGGCTCTTCGGCTTTGAAACAGAGATAAGCACCGCCCCCTAGAGTCGGGAACAACTAGCAAAGGGAACTTTTACCTAGCACCTCTGTGCTGATGATTAAAGCAGATGCGTTCAGACTCCCATGTGTTTTACAAAAAAGATGTAGTTGCTTTAATAAGTCAAACCATTAAAGCAGCTGCGTCTTTAACCCAAAACAGTCTTTTCCCCAGTCTTATGCAGAAATTTGGGGGAGTTTGGGGGAAAAGACGCAGCTGCTTTAATAAGGAGCAAAGAGGTGCTGTGCCAGTATGACTCCAAAGTAGCTCTTTTAAATCAATTCTGAAGAATGCACAGGGCTAGAATCCACTACCGATTCCATTGACGATGTACCACTTAATTGTACAGGGAAGCATTACAGAAAAAATCACAAGAAACCCTGAAGCTTCAGGAAGAAGCAACCAAGTTCTCTTTGGAATCCACTGCACGTCAAGAAGGAATATCTTCTCCTTCCAGTGCCATAGGTACGTTTAATTAGCATGTATGCGAATTATAGTTGGCCTTTTTCCTGCAGGTAAACACAAGTATTTTCAGATCGCTGTGGTTAAGGTCTGGCTCCCCTAAAGCACGTTAGGGTTCCAAATAGCATCTAAAAGTAAATCAGAGTCCAAGGCAAAGGATTCTTCAAAGTTCCAATTTATTAAGAGAGCCATGTTGGCACATCTGGGAAAACCCGAATCTGGAGGCTTCCCGGTTTTCCCCACCCAGTTGAAAATTCAAGATCTTTTCCCCACACCCACAAGTCCATCCCATGGTCCAATCTCCCACTGCCATGCTGGCAGCTTCCACCCATCCAGTTCAGGTCAGGTGCAGAGGTGCAAAGACAAAGGATGGCCTTGGCTTTCTAGAAAAGAATTTTGTTATGGCTACATAGCATCTTTCAGCATCTCTGCCTCTTTTCTTCTGCACCCAACATCTGGAAGCCTGTGTGATCCCCCCCTTTTCTGTTCAGGAGCTCAAGCCATGCGGTCCTGTCCACCCTTAAACCATCTTTCCAAGCAGCCTCCATCTTTTCCAGCATCTTTTCCCCCGTGACCCATCAAAACTGCGGTCCACTAAAGCGCGCCCGATCAAAGCGCATACGTGACGTCATCAGCAGCGCAAAAAAAAAAATAAAAAAAAAATAAAATAAAAATAAAAAAAAAATAAAAT